CTGTAATCCCAACACTTTGGGAGGCAGAGTTGGGCAGATCACGAGGTTAAGATATCGAGACCATCCTGACCAACATGGTGAAACCCGGTCTCTACTAAAAAATACAAAAATTAGCTGGGTGTGGTGGCACACGCCTGTTGTCCCAGCTACTCAGGAGGCTGAGGCAGGAGAATTGCTTAAACCCAGGAGGCAGAGATTGCAGTGAGGCGGAGATTGCAGTGAGCCGAGATTGCACCACACTGCACTCCAGCCTGGCGCCTGGTGACAGAGTGAGACTGTCTTGAAAAAAAAAAAAATGATCAAACCGGGGTCACACTTATCCTACTACTGTATATACATCAGTTTAGCCCTTTTCCCGTGTGGCCTCCGTCTCTTTTCATTTCAATGCACTCACCCTGTAAAGACCATAACCTCAGATCAATGTAATCATCTGCTTCCTAGACTTCAATTTAAATCTAGACCCAGATTTGCTGGAGAAAACCAAATGACCCTGTATAATGACATAAAGCAGATACATAGCCTGCAACCTGAGCAGGGCCTCCAGCCTGGTCCGGCAAATCATTTCGGTATTGCTGGTATGCTTCATTGTCTCTTCCCAAGGAACCACTGTTCCTAACTTTTCATCATTATCCCCAAGCCCCTTTACTCCACTACTTCCTTGCCTACTACTTGGTGTCTGCTCCCTTCCTCTTAGGAACAATTGAGATGAACAGACACGAACTCTTTCAACTCTCTCCACCCAAGCCTAAAAACATACATATTTCAAACACCCACCCTTAGTTCTTCGCTTGTAATCTAAGCACTCTGTGATCCTGATTAATCACTTCCTGTCCCTTAGTTGGTTATTCCTTATTTATTTCCAACCTTCCTTTATACTAGCCCTATCCCCATGTATTATGAGTTGCTCAAGGCTATTCCATCTTTTTTTTTCTATTGAGACAGTGTCTCACAAGTGCAGTGGTGTGCAGCGGTGTGATCTCAGCTCACTGTAGCCTCAACCCGCCCAGGCTCAAGCTATCCTCCCACTTCAGCCTCCCAAAGTGCTGGGATTACCGGCATGTGCCCCCACACCTGTCCTAGTTCATCTTAAAGGGGGAAAAAATCCAACATAAAACTTTTCTCTTTGACCTCTTATTGGCTGTTCCTCCTCCTACTTCAGTGCTGATTTTCCTTAGGCCTGCATCTTTAGCTTTCTTCCCTTCTCAGAAGCTACACAGCCTGATTGAGCAACTCATCCTCTCCCATGTACTTCAACTACCATCCAAGCCAGAAGCCAGCAAATCTGTATTTCTGGCCCCTCTGAGCTCTTGAGATGGCAATCTCAGATGTTAAACTGGCTAACTAAATAGCATTCTTCACCTTTATGTCTCAAAGATACCTTACACTCAACAGGTCCAAAGCTGAACTCATCTTCCCAAGTCTGTCTCCAGTTTGGCTCTCTCAAGGACTGACACTATCTCCTCAGTCAAGAAAGCTAAGAGTCTCACCTTATTAAAAGAAACCTAGGAGTCACCTTAGCTCCATCTCTTAACTTCCTGAAGCGCTTCTATGAGCCCCTGTCTATCCTTCTATCCCAACTGCTATTAACTTAGTTCAGTTCCTGAGTATCTCTTGCTTAGATACAACCTCCTCCTATCCTCTTTCTCTGCCTCCAGCCTTATTTTTCTTTTTTTAAAGAGGTTTTAGGTTTGTCGCCCAGATTGGAGTGCAGTGGTGCATTCACAGCTTGTGGCAGCCTTGACGTCCCAGGCTCAAGCAACTTTCCCACCTCAGTCTCCCAAATAGCTGGGACTATAGGGTATGTCATCACATCCTGCTAATTTTTGTATTTTTTGTAGAGACAAGTTTTTGCCATTTTGCCTAGGCTGGTCTTAAACTCCTGGGTTCAAGCAATCCATCCACCTGTGCTCCTAAAGTTCTGGGATTGCAGGCTAGAACCCAGCTGCCTCCAGTCTTGTTAAATCTAGCCGCAATGTGGTTACCTGATTTAGGGTATGTAACCATCCTGCTTAAAACACTTCAATGGATACGTAAGGAACTTCATAGTGATTGTCTCTGAGAACTGAGGGATCTAAGGTAGGAGAAATATTTGTCTTTCACTTTGGTACTGTTTGAATTCTTTACTGCTAGCATATGCATTACGTTATAAAACTAAAGTTTCAGTGACCCCAGTGCCTACAATACAAAGTCTTTCATGATCTCTCTGCTGTTTACCTCTCAAGCTTCTCTCTCAAGCCACTACTCTATCCACAATGGCCTCCCATCCAAATATCGACTTAGCTTTGAAGACTTTTTTCAGGCCAGGCACAGTGGCTCACGCCTACAATCCCAGCACTTTGAGAGGCTGAGGCAGGTGAATCACCTGAGGTCAGGAGTTTGGCACCAGCCTGGCCAACATGGTGAAACCCCATCTCTACTAAAAATACAAAAATTAGCTGTAATTGATGGCAGGTGCCTGTAATTCCAGCAATTTGAGAGGCTGAGGCAGGAGAATCGCATGAACCTGGGAGGTGTAGACTGCAGCGAGCCAAGATCATGTCATTGCAATCCAGCCTGGGCAACAAGAGCAAAACTGTCTTAAAAAAAAAAAAAAAAAATTCTGCCCAAAAGGGACTTCCTCCTGACTTCTCCATACAGAAGTGACCTCCTTTTCCTTGTTGTCCACTGTGTACCATATTCAGACTTCCATCATGTTACTTACAATTCATGTCATATATAAAAGTTAAAATCAAAGTTTATCTCCCTCCATTAGCCTTAGATTCCCTAGGACAGGAATTCCTTTTTTTTTTTTTGACAGTCTCACTCCTCCCAGGCTGGAGTGCAATAGTGTGATCTTGGCTCACTGCAATCTACACCTCCCAGGTTCTTGCGATTCTCCTGACTCAGCCTCCCAAGTAGCTGGAATTACAAGCACCCGCCACCACACCCAGCTCATTTTTTTTTTTTTCAGTAGAGACAGGGTTTCACCCTATTGGCCAGGCTGATCTGAACTCCTGACCTCAGGTAATCCACCTGCCTTGGCCCCACAAAGCGCTGAGATTACAGGCATGAGCCACGGCGCCTGGCCAAGGACAGGAATTCTTATTCACCCTTGAATTTTCAGAGCCTTGTTACTGGATCAAAATTTCCAGGAGTGGGGCTTGGGCAAGGTGTTTTGAAAACGTTCTTCAGGTGATTCTAACTATCCTATGTTAACTGCAATAAAACCTAAACTCTTTCAGATAAGGAATCCTCACTACCCAGCACAACGGAGGTGCTCAATAAATGCTTTACTAAACTGAACTGAAAAGAGAAGTCTGGAAGATGAGAGAGAAGTGTTTGGAGCTAGAGATTTGTAGGCATCAGGATGGAAGATGGTGTCAGTGCAGTGACAGGAGGAAGAAAGCTGGGGAGGACTTCTTCATGACCCTTTCACTGTAACTGCAGAAGACTCAATTACATGTGTTTTCCTTAAGACTTGAGTTTCTCAAGGGAGGGGAACCCTCCATCCTACTCATCTCTGTAGGCCTGGCCCTAAGCACAGTGCATAGTACATATTAGGAGCTCAGTAACCTTTTATTAATCTTGTGTTGAGCTGTATCAGTGTCCCTGGTAATAGAAGGGAGTGAAAAACTTCAGGGACACAAAGGAGGAAGTGACTAACTTGGCCTAAAAAGGCTGGATAAATTGATTTTCAGAGGGACAATCACGCTCAGTTTTCAAAGAGAAGTTCACTTGGCAGAGCAGTGTTCACTTCCAAGCAGAAGGAACAGCAGGAACTCTAAGTACTGAGATATGAAAGAGCACAGTCAAATCTTTCCACGTGGCCAGGAGTCAGGTGCATAAAAGCTTTACAAATGAGATCGAGAGGGTCAGGGCCAGACTGTGAGAGGCCACAGACGCCCACTTAAAGATTTAAGCCTAACTGTGGTAGTCAAAAAGGAGTTTTAAATGTAACATGAAATGACCAGTTACCTTTACTTTGTAGGAAGTACTAGGGGGGCCGCGCTCGGTGGCTCACGCCTGTAATCCCAGCACTTTGGGAGGCCGAGGCGGGCGGATCACTTGAGGTCTGGTGTTGGAGACCAGCCTGGCCAACATGGTGAAATCTCGTCTCTATTAAAAATACAAAAATTAGCCGGGCGTGCTGAAGGGCACATATAAGCCCAACTACTGGGGAAGCTGAGGCAGTAGAATCGTTTGAACCCGGGAGGTGGAGGCTGCAGTGAGCCAAGATCGCGCCACTGCACTCCAGCCTGGGCGACAGAGCGAGACTCCATCTCAAAAAAAAAAAAAAAAATTAAAAATTAAAAAATTGAAAGTACTAGTGGAAGCATTTAAGGCAAATAATTGAGAGGCTCAAGGGAAAAAGCCTCATTAGCGGCTGAGGTCCATCTGACAAACCCAAACAGAAGGAAAGGGAGGAATCCATTCCATAAAAACCCACAATTTAAGTCAAGCTGCCTGTGAATCCCTACTGACCGCCAGGCCACACACCGGGTTTCAACTGGATGAGGAGCTCCGGTGGAACTCCCCCAGGCACCTTCTGTTCTACTTCTGGAGTTCCAAGCCCCCTCCCATCACAACCCTATCCCGCGGGAGGCCCAAGCAGCGCAAGGGAAGGGAGCCTCCGGCACGACCCGGGATCGCTGCACCGCAGAAGGCGCAGAGTACAGAACTGCCCGTGCGCGCCTGAAGTACGCGCCCCGCCCCCTGCCTCTAAACCGGGTGGCGGGAAAAGGAACTCCGCGCCTTCCGAGAATGCCCCAGCAACTTCGAAAGGATCCCTATGTCCGCTTAGCGCCCTCTCGCCACACACTCACCCACCCGCTCCCTGCAGGTCCTCAGAAGCCCTGAGGAGCCATCGGCCTTCAGGCGCGGGGCCGCAGGCTTTCCTGCCGCGAGGCTCTGCTAGGCCGGTCCCCGCCAGCGCGTAGAGCTAGACCGGGCGAGCCGGGCTGGTCCACGTGACTCCGAGCGGAACGGGGGCGGAGATTGGCGAGGAAGGAAGGTTAAGGGAAGCGAGTGCGGGGATTGTTTAATGTGACGTCGATCCCTTACAAGGGATCTAAAAATCACAGCGCTATGAATTTTCTGCTGAATTATAGAATGAAAGTCCGATTAGAGGTGAATTTACCAACATTCTTCCCCTTCTTCTAGTCAAGCGGACTATTCCAAGTCTTAAATAGTTAGTTAGAAAAGTTAGGTTTTATTTGGGAGGAAGTGAAGAGCTGAAGTGTAGGGAGGAATAGTCTTCTGGGGTGAGGGATGTCTGTTGCATTATAGGTATATCTTTAAAGCTTGCGAAGTATACAAGAGACTCATAAAAGGAAGAGAGCAACCATAAATATTCACTGATCAGTTGAGGGTCTCTTCTGGCCTCTGCTGATATGATCTTGCCCACAAGAGAAGATAACAGGGCTCTGCTATGGACCCCAGCTACTGGGGAGGCTGAGGCAGGAAAATCGCTTTAGCCCAGGATTTCTAGGCTATAGTGTGCCATGGTTGTGCCTGTGAATAGCCATTACACTCCAACCTGGGCAACATAGTAAGAACCCCCCTCTCTAAAAAGAAGAAGATAGGCGCAAATGAATAATAATCTCCTGAATTGTTATGCAGTTGAATAAAATGAATCAATTTCTGGGGTATGAGGGAGTTAGAAGATATTTGCTTCAAGATGAAAGGACAGATGACAGCTGGACATGGTGGCTCACGCCTGTAATCCAAGCACTTTGGAGGCCAAGGTGGGCGGATCACCTGAGGTCGGGAGTTCAAGACCAGCCTGACCAACATGGGGAAACCACGTCTTAAAATAAAAAAAGAAAAAGAAAGACAGATGACAGAGAAATGAAAATACACAGACACAAAACAAAACACGGAACTAGTGATAAAAGCAGAAAGATGCCATTTGAGGAGTGTTTTGATTAGCTCTAAATAATTTAAAACAGAGTCAAAGCCTCTCCCTTTATGCCCCCTACTACCACCCCTACATTTATTTGCTCCAGGAGTCAGACTTCCTGTGTTGGCCTTAGGGAACAATTGTGGGACTTAAATACCATCTGCCAGGTGGCCACACCAGTGGATGTCAGGCTGACCAGATAAGCTGCTTCATTTTCTAGATTCTAGGCTTGCCCAAGCCTTATTTAGGTTAGAAGCTCCTTGGCCCAAGACCTCCAAAGAGATCCATTATGCCAGAATGAACACAACCAGCCAGTGGATGTAGACAGGTTTACATGCCTTTACAGAATAGCTCAAATCCTAGTGTTCACTTTTCTCAGAGCTACTTCCCCACCCAAGCCCCTGGGGCAAGCATCCCTGAGATATGTAGGCTGTATGTTCACATTAACTTCCCCCCAATTTTTTGGAACACTTGCATCCTGATCTGGGGCTAATACCTTCATTTTCACCACTCACCTCCCTTGAGTTTTTCTCCTAAACCTTGGAATGCCTTGTCCCCTCCACTTCTCTCCATCCGCCTCGTGTGAGGAGTAACTTTCCACTTTCTGTTCCCTCATAAATCAAGAGCCACACACTTGACTGGCATCAGGGTAAAGGCCAGAAACATAAGGTGTCAGTTACCCTGTACTCACCATCTGGGTCGAGGAAGGGAGGTATAGGATGGCACCTCTTTTTGCTTCCTTAGCTCTCATGCCCCAGCCACACTCACTCACATTCATATGCACAATCAGCACACACGGCGAAGGGAGGTGGGACGGGGAGGAAGGGAGGTTTGCACCAACCAGCTCGTGAATGCAGCTTGAAAGATTTCACACAGCAAAAGGAAAAAGAGAAAAACCACATACATAAGTTAAACAATAAAGAAGTACATGCCCCTCCCCACAGTCTGTTTCTTCATCTAGGGGCTGGCTCAACCCTCTGCATAAACTCAGAAGATTTCTACTCCCTCTATTCAGCTGGAGCTTCTACAGGGCCTGGGTCTTCAGTTCAACAGGTTCCCCTGTGACCTCTGGTTGTCCATTGGAGTCATTGGGTTTGGCACCTTTGAGGACAGACAGTCTCTCAGAAATACTCTTGAGCCGGGGGAAGAGGAGAAAGTCGTAGAGGAGGCTGCCCAGACCCCCTCCAATGATTGGGCCCACCCAGTACACCTGTAGGAAGAGAAAAGGAATACTCAGGTTTGGGGAGGGGACAGAGCAGCAAGGCTGCTCCTTTTTCAACCCCCTTAGAGGAAAATAAGACATCGTGCACTTGATATATATAAGAAACTCACCATTTCTTTTCTGATTCATCAAATTGCTCCTTTTTCCTACACCTTTGCACGTGTATATTCTATTTGTTGTTATCAATTTGAACTAGTTTGTATGTTGCTTTCAAAAATTTTTTATACATTTTGGTGAAATACATATAAAATTTGCCATATTAAATATTTTTGGCCAGGCACGGTGGCTCACACCTGTAATCCCAGCACTTTGGGAGGCCGAGGCAGGTGGACCACAAGGTTAGGCATTTGAGACCAGCCTGGCCAACAAAGCAAAACACCGTCTCTAAAATACAAAAATTGATGGGACTGGACTGAGTGTTGGCTACATGGGGCTACTGGATCCGTCGGAAATGGCAGAGGTGGAGTAGACACTGAAGCGACTTCAGAGCCAGAAGTGAATGCAGGGAATCATCGTGGTGAACACAGAAGACAATCCCATCAAGAGCACCATGGACAACCCTACCACTACCCAGTAGGCCAGCCTCATGCACAGCTTCATCCTGAAGGCACGGAGCACCGTGCATGAAATCGACCCCCAGAACGATCTCACCTTCCTTCGAATTCGCTCCAGGAAAAATGAGATTATGGTTGCACCAGATAAAGACTATTTCCTGATTGTGATTCAGAATCCAACCGAATAGGCCACTCTCCTGACTCCCTGTGTCATTCCTTAATTTAATGCCCCCCAAGAATGTTAATGCCGATCGTGTTAGCAGACTGGCACGTAACAGTCACCTTGGAGCCCACTCAGACCAATCCAGTGAGCATGTGTGGGCTGGCAGCTCTTCCTCCCCAACCAAAGGAACCCCTGTGCTGTGCCAGCCTTCCCCAGACCTCCAGGAGGGCCCTCTCGCCTCACTTCCAGGTTTTGGAGCAAGAACTTGCAAGAAGCCCGCACCCAGCTTCCTTCTGACCTTCAGTTCACTTTGTTGCCTTTGGAGAAGGCTGTTTTTCTTTAACTAAAAATAACCAAAATGCTTTAAAAAAATACAAAATTAGCTGGGCGTGGTGGTGGGTGCCTATAACCCCAGCTACTTGGGAGCCCAAGGCAGGAGAATCACTTGAACCTGGGAAGTGGAGGTTATAGTGAGCCAAGATGGCATGCCACTGCACTCCAGCTTGGGTGACAGACCGAGACTCCATCTCAAAAAAATATATATGTATGTATATATTTTAAGTGTACAGTAGTGTTATATTCACATTGTTGTGCAACCCATATCTTGACATTTTTCATCTTGCAAAACTTTAACTCTATACCCATTAAACAACTGCCTATTCCACCCCACCCCTATCAGCTTCTGGTAACTATCCTTCTACTTTGTGTCTATGAATTTGAGTACTCTAAATACCTTATATAATCATGCAGTATTTGTCTTTTTGTGACTGGCTTATTCGCTTATCATAATATACTCAAGATTTATCCGTGTTGTAATATGTGTCAGAATTTCCCTCCTTTTTATGGCTAATATTCCATTTATGCATATACCACATTTTGTTTATACACTCATCCACGGAGGAACACTTGGGTTGCTTCTACCTCTTGGCATTGTGAATAATGCTGTAATAAAAATGGGTGTATAGCTTTGAAATTTTTTTGAATTATTTCCATATGTTTGGCTTGCATATGTTCGAAACAACATAAACACAACCAATATTTATTGAGTACTTACTTTATACCAGATTCTGTGCTAAATGTTTCTCACATATAACTTTCACACATTTCTTGTAATGTCCCATTTTATAGTAAAGGAAACTGAAGCACAGAGTGATTGCGTTATTTGCCCATGGTCACACACAAAGCCAGGAATGTGTTAGAAATCAGGCCCTTTGTGCTCACAACACATCCTGATCTCTGAGAGCAGAATTTATTGTGCTCATATTTAGTTGTCTCTCTTCATACCCCTTAGTTCAGGCACCCAGTGAATACTCAGTGCATACTCCCTGACTAAGCAGAGAAGGAACAATATGAGCAAGAGCCTCTCTTTCTAGTAAAATCGTGAATCCTGCTCACACAGACATGCCAAACTCTCTGACAGCCCCCTTAGCTGAGTGCTGGTAGAACAGCCAACACATGCAGAAGGAAAGCAGGAACCCAGCCTGGAACCTGCAAACCACAACCATCCAGAAGGGTTCCAGGATCTTGCCCCTCTCCCTTCACTCACCCAGTGGTTGGTGAAGTTCCCAGTGAGAATGGCAGGAGCAAAGGAGCGGGCAGGATTCATGCCTGCACCAGTATAATACATCTGCAAAAGAGACAGTTGTAACTGAGACACACCCCTGCTCCACCCCAGCTTCTCTTGCCACAACCCACATTGCCCCTAAGAGCTGGCATCTGGTCTCCAGCCAGCAGCAAGTAGAGAAGGACTGCCTGCATGACTCTCTGGTGGTTCCCACAATGGGGTGAGGGCAACTGATACCCCATCTGGGAACAGCCTATGGATCCATAGGCAAAGCCCATGTCTAGCCAGGATGCATGCATTTCTACCTTGGGGTCAAGAAGGACTAGATATAGCAGTCACAAGAGTGGGATATGGTAGAGTTGATTCCTCTGTGCCAGTACACAGTGCGATGGGTAATGTTCATGTTTGACAGTGAAGTTGGCAGGAAGAACCCTTAAAGGTTAGGAAAGGTTTAGGGGCCCCGGAATCCTTGAATGAGAAGTTTCTCTCCTTCCTGCTTACCCCAAAGAGGTGCCCCAAGGCAAGGGAGAAGCCAACGGCCAGGGCCACGGAGCCCAGTCGGCCATTCCGCCTCTCGTCGTATGTGGCAAAGATGCAGAGCACAAACTGGAGCGTCAGGAAGATCTCCACTGTGGTGGCCTGGCCCACGCTTACCCCAGGGTGCAACTGCGCAAAGGAAAAAGAAGAGGCAGCTCATTAGGACTGCTACAGTGTTACATCCTCAAGACTTCCCCGGCAAGGAGCCCTTTCGAGCATCAGGTCCCTGGAAAGGAAGGATAATACAACCCCCTTCATAGTCATTGTATTTGCATCTTAATATCTCCTAACAATGTTCCTTCATGATGGAAATGACTGCACCCACTTACATGGATGAGGAAACTGAGCCTTTGAAAGGTAAAATAAGTTTCCTTAAAATCTGCAAGAAGTTGGAAGGAAAGTTGAAACTCAATCTCAGGTTTCTTAATTCTCAGTCCAGGGCCCTATGCCTTCCTTTCAGCTCTAAACCACCTGTCCATCCTCCCCACTTTGACACACATATGCTCACACATGCACACACATATGCTCACACATGCACATATTGTCCCAGATCCCAGGGGAGCTGATTCACCTGTACCAGTCAGGGAGTCAGGGCAACAGAGAGTCAGGACACCAGGTTCCCATCCCCTCTCAGCCAACCATTACCGTGTTGAGTGCTAGGTTTCCTCGGACGGCAGGCGGGGTAACACTATACAGCACAGCGGCCCCAGCCACAGCTCCCAGGAGCTGGGCTGCCATATAGCAGAAGGCACGGAGCAGGGACATCTGGGAGCCCACAAGGAAAGCAAAAGTGACTGCAGGATTGACGTGGGCTCCACTGATGTGGCCCACAGACTGCACCAGCGTAGCCAGAGCCAAGCCAAAGGCCATTGCCACCTGCAGCACATGCAGGGGTCCAGGAGCCCAACGCAATGAGGACCCCAGCCCAAAGAAGACATAGAAGAGGGTAGCAAAGAACTCCGCAAATATGGCCCTCCAAAAGGAGGCTGACCGCAGTTCCCACATGGCAGGGGGGATGGGCACAGTGCCTGGGTCCCTGCTACCCCCCGGCCTTATCTGGGTGGACAGTCCCCTTTATAGAGGACTCTTAATCCCTGGGAGGGGCAGGCTGAGGTAGCTGGCCCAGCCTCTTAACCCCTTCACAGCTGTGCAGGGATAGGCCCCCTCCCATACATAGTAAAGATGCTGGATTTTCCTGCCTCTCTCAACTGGGAGATGAGCCGAGAGAGCCATGGCAGTGAGGGTGGGATTGGGGTCAGAGCAGAAACGACTATGAGAAGGGGGGCGAAGAACAGTGGGACTGGAAGAGTCTGCCCTTCAATGTGTGTCAAAGTTGGAGTTCATAGTCCTGACTGACATCTACATTAGAATACTCTTCAACTCTCTTTGGAAAGTCTGTCAAGCTGAGCTCACTTCACGATATTTGGGGCTGAGCTCACTTCATGATATTTGGGGCTGAGCTCATGGGGGCCTCAGGCTCCTCTGAGCCTGCCAGGGGCAAGAGTGGGGGCGGGGGTAAGGAGTGGGGTTCAGCAGGGAAGTTGGATAACTAAAGAGAATTCTTTAGTTCCTAGGGATTAGAAGGCTTTCTCTCATTGGCTAGTTTTGGACTGGAATCTGTGGACCCTGCAGCTCTGGGACAGAATAGTTCTGCTGTGTCTGGCTTTCTCTGAGCCCGGGTTCCCTACCCCCAGCCCATGACAGCACCTCCCTTTTCAAACCCTAGGCCTGGCTTTTTGAACCAGAGACTGACAGAGAGAAGACACTATCATCCCTGTATGGGCTGGGGTGAGGTTGGAGGGATAGAAATGGGAAAGGGACTCGTAGTTAAACCTTAGAATCAGCTTGTATTTCATCTTTCCTAACTCACATGGTCATAGCAAGAAGTAGTGAAAGGAAGGAAACTGAGTCATGGCTATGAAGCAATGGGAAGATCTAATGTCCTCCAAGACAGCCATGATCAGCACACCCTAAACCTTGATCCCCCAGGGAAAGGTATGGGTGTGCTGAGATCAGATCTGGGGAAACAGCTGGTCAAGGAGTGGGAAAGGATAATATGGGGAAGGAAAGTTTGGGGAAAGAGGTTCAGTTGTGCTTGGGCTTGGTGAGAGACTTGGGACCTAGGCATGGGGCCTGTGTGGTGATGGAGAAGGTGGAATGAGACATACTGATAGGTTCTACAATCTCCGTGTTGTGGCAAGTCATACAGGCCACAGACTTTTTTCATGAAGCACCAGAGAACAGAAATTCAAAGGTGAAGCTGCAAGAATGGTGCCCAGCATGGTCTCACCCAGTACACCTGTTGGGAGAGAGAAGGAACACAGATACGGGCCTGTGCTCTCTCCTTGCAATACCCAGCTTGGGGATGGATGGAAAGAGAGTCATAGTGAAGGTAGAGTGTCCATCTAACCTATCCACTGACAGGAAGGGTTGCTGAAAACAGGTCAGAGAGCACCCAAAGGGTTTGGAGCTCTCAATTACATAGAAGAGAAACAATCCACCAGAAATCATTGGAGTCTCCTACATGCTAGAAGCCTCAACAGTCTCCTACTCAGGCCTTGTAACCCTCAGTGCATCTCACCCAGTATTGCTCCTAGGTCCCAGTCACCACTGCTGGACTCAGGAAGCATGCAGGGTTCATGCTGCCTCCAGAAAAGGTGCCCTGGACAGGAGAAAGAGAGGGTAGCACATCATGGTGTTAAGAACAGAGACTTTGGCAATAGATACTCTGGTGCAATTAGGTAAGGATACAGTTACAACTGCTGGTGGGAGTATAAACTGAGATAATAACTATTTTTTTTTTTTTGAAACAGGGTTTTGCCCTGTCACCCATGCTGGAGTGCAGTGGTATGATCACAGCTCATTGCATCTGAGTGCCGTGGTGCGATCACAGCTCATTGCATTTTTAACCTCCTGGGCTCAAGCAATCCTCCTACTACATGGTACATACCACCATGCCCAGCTAATTTTTTTTTTTTTTTGTAGAGATGGGGTCTCACTGTGTTGCCTAATCTGGTCTCAAACTCCTGGGCTCAAGTGATCCTGCCACCTCGGCCTCCCAAAGTGTTAATATTACAAAGTAAGACACTGTGCCCCACCTGAGATAATGACTTTGGAACATGGTTTAACACCTACTTTTAAAGATGAACAAATTACATAATTTTTTTTTCTTTGAGACAGAGTCTCATTCTGTTGCCCAGGCTGGAGTGCAGTGGCACAATCAGCTCACTGCAAACTCTGCCTCCTGGTTAAAGAAATTTTCATGCCTCAGCCTCCCAAGCAGCTGGGACTACAGGTGCCTGCCACCATCCCCGGCTAATTTTTGTATTTTTAGTAGAGATGGGGTTTCACCATGTTGGCCAGGCTAGTCTCGAAGTCCTGACCTCAAGTGATCTGCCCCTCTTGGCCTCCCAAAGTGCTGAGATTACAGGTGAGAGCCACTGCACCATGTCAAATTACATAATTTCTGACGCAGCGACTCTGCTTCTCACTTATATACCCAAGAGAAACTTGGGTAGCACATCACATAAATTTATGTAATTATTGGCTGGGCACAGTGGCTCACACCTATAATCCCAGCACTTTGGGAGCCCAAGGCAGGCAGATCACCCGAGGTCAAGAGTTTGAGACTAGCCTGGCTAACATGGTGAAATCTCATCTCTACCAAAAATACAATAATTACCAGGCCTGGTGGTGGGTGCCTGTAATCCCAGCTACTTGGGAGGCTGAGACAGGAGAATTGCTTGAACTGGGGAGGCAGAAGTTGCAGTGAGCCAAGATCACATCACTGCACTTCAGCCTGGGCAACAAGAGCAAAACTGAGTCTCAAAAGAAAAGTAATTGACAAGGTTCCAGTTTTTCTATTGGGTGATGGTTAGAAATGATACTTAATCATTACTAAAAACAAATAAGTGGGAGCCATATATAGACCAATGAGGAGAGGATATCATGAACAACAAAATATTCTGTGTACTTCAAATTAATTTAAAAAGCAGTGACAACAACACATGCTTTTCTACTTTCTAGTTGAACAAGTTATCCCCACTACATATAGGTTCCAGGAGGGCAGGGACCATGTCTGATTTCTCACCAGTGTACACCTGGTGTTTAACACACAGAAGGCAGTAAATATTTGTTGAATAGATTCGATTAGCATAAGCTAGCTAGCTTCCTCTCTCTCTCTCCCTCTCTTTTGAAAGAGTCACACTCCAAAGTATAGTGATGTGATCTCAGCTCACCGTAGCCTCCACCTCCTGGGTTCAAGCCTCCCAAGTAGCTGGGATTAGAGGTGCACGCCACCATGCCTGGCTAATTTTTGTATTTTCAGTAGAGACAGTGTTTCATGATGTTGGCCAGGCTGGTCTCAAACTCTTGGCCTCAAGTGATTTGCCCGACACAGCCTACAGGCCTGAGCCACTGCACCGGGTCAAATTAGCATAAGCTTTCTGAGTCTCGGTTTCCTCTGTATCAAATAAGATAATGTAAGTAAAGGGCCTAGTAGTATCTGGCATAGAATAAAACACTTAATAAACAGGAGCTACCTGCACCTTAGTCCCAGCTACTCAGGAGGCTGAGGTGGGAGAATCATTTGAGCTCAGGAGTTAGAGACCAGCCTGAGCAACATAGAAAAACCCTGCCTCTACAAAAAAAAAACAAATTTAGCCGGGCACAGTGGTGCACATCTGCAGTCCCCGCTACTGGGGAGGCTGAGGTGGGAGGATGACTTGAGCCTAGGAGGTGGAGGTTGCAGTGAGCTGAGATGGCACCACTCCACTCCAGCCTTGGCAACAGAGTCAGGCCCTGTCTCAAAAACATTGAAACTTTGGCAGGGTACGATGGCTTATGCCTGTAATCCCAGCACTTTGCAAGGCTGAGGTGGGCATATTATCTGAGGTTGGGAGTTCGAGACCAGCCTGGCCGGCATGTACTAAAAATACACAAAAAGAATTAGCTGGGTGTCATGTTGCATGCCTGTCATCCCAGATACTTGGGAGGCTGAGGCAGGAGAATCACAGGACGCAGAGGTTCTGGTCACCTGAGATCAGACCACTGCATTCCAGCCTGGGCGACAGGGTGAGACTCCATCTCAAAAGGAAAAAAAAAAAAAAAATTTTTTTTTAATTTTTTCTTTTTTTTTTTTTTGAGATGGAGTTTCGCTCGTTACCCAGGCTGGAGTGCAATGGCGTGACCTCGGCTCACCGCAACCTTCACCTCCTGGGTTCAGGCAATTCTCCTGCCTCAGCCTCCTGAGTAGCTGGGATTACAGGCACACACCACTCATGCCCAGCTAATTTTTTGTATTTTTAGTAGAGACGGGGTTTCACCATGTTGACGAGGATAGTCTTGATCTCTTGACCTCATGATCCACCCGCCTCGGCCTCCCAAAGTGCTGGGGTTACAGGCATGAGCCACTGCGCCTGGCAAAAAAATTAAAAATTAAAAAAATTTAAAAAGTAAACAGAAGCCACTCCATGAGGGTTTTATTAGCAGGAACAGGTTATCTCTACTTATCAATCCTATAGCCTCATCATAAGAGACAGAACAGCAAAGGACAGTTAATTCAATCTCTTGTAGACGCCAAATAAAATGCCTAGCTTTCCTTATTTGCAGCTACCAAACTCTTGCCTTTATTCTTCAGGAAACGTTGACTCCATGGAGAGCTGCATTTCGGCCCATTTCCTTTCACACCAGTCTCCCTACTTAGCTAAATGCCAGTCTCTTTTAAACCTAACGAGAGATGAACTCTCAAAAGCTTACTTGAGTTTTTCCATAGATTTACTTACAATTAGTATGCTTATTGTTTTCTATTAGCCTAATCTTTTATTTTTATTTTATTTTACTTTTTTAGAAAGAGTCTCACTCTGTTGCCCAGGCTGGAGTGCAATGGTGCGATTCCGGCTCACTGCCACCTCCGCCTCCAGAGTTCAAGCTATTCTTCTGCCTCAGTCTCCCGAATAACTGGGACTACAGGTGCCCGCCACCATGCCCGGCTAATTTTTGTATTTTTAGTAGAGGCGTGGTTTCACCATATTGCCCAGGCTGGTCTAACCTCATGATCCGCCTGCCTC